AGCTTTTCAATATTTGTATATATTTAATATTTTATGCCCTAATTTTTATTTGCTCTCTCTTATGTCCCGTATTTGATTTCAATCATACCTATACAATTATTTTATTGACAATTATAATTAATCTTGACTATATTATCTTGCATTTGTAAACTTAGAATTGCATATTTGAATACACAAATTTAACATTCAATTATTTATGCATGAACAATTCCAATATAATTTTGCCTTGATATACTTTAAAATACTTATTTAAAAATAAAATAAAATTAGGCATTATCTCAACGCGTAAAAAACTAGTAATAATAATAATGATGATGATGATGCATATCGCAAATACATATCAGTCTAACCTATATATAACTATAAGACAAGATAAGATTGCTTGGGGTGTGCATGTCCTACAACCAAATAGCCAGCACAACGAGAATATTGGTTCAAATCAAAGAAGGCGACGCGCGATCAAGCCACAAGTTTTTTTTTTTTTTTTTTTTTTTTTTTTTTGAGGAACAAGCCACAAGCTTTATTTCAATTAGATTAGACAACAAGCACTTTGAACTGTATAAATTGTGAGCCCCAACTTTTTTTTTTTTTTTTAGTATCTCAACCTATTGAAACACAAAGAATCAATACCGTCCCCACTGAGGATCAAATCGGCAAATTATATCATGCACCGCGGTGTATACTGGATTATGCGCCGAGCTTCTAAACGACGTCGTTTTGTTTAATGAAAAGAAATGGCGCCCGTTTCGCGTCGTTCCGCAAAAAGTAACTCTGTTATTCAGTTTTATTTTGTATCAGTTCAATACAACTACAGTTTCATTTCGATATAACTACAGTTTCATTCGATATTTATACACTCAAATATGTGAAAATGTTATTTAATTTTATTTTATATACACTATAGTTTCATTAAAACACAACTACATGATCATTTCGATATAACTACAGCTTCATTGCACAATATACACTCAAATGTGTGAAATGTTATTCATTTTCATTTTATATACACTGCAGTTTCATTTCAACACAACTACAGTATCATTTTGATATAACTACAATTTCATTTGGTAATATACGCTCAAATGTGTGAAATGGTTATTCAGTTTCATTTTGTATACACAGCAGTTTCATTTTGTATATACTGCAGTTTCATTTCAACACAATTACAGTTTCATTTCATTTCAATTGCAATTTCACTTGCTAATATAAAAATAATACGTGAGGCAGTGTCAGTTTAGATATATTGTAGGTTCAATTGGTAAGTAATACACCAAACATGCGCACTCCGTTATCTGTAACGGTGCGCCGTTTCTTTACTTAAAGAAATGATGTCGTTTTTGGACTGTAGTGCACAATACATTGTACACCGCGATCCACAATATAATTGCTGAGATCAAACCCATTACCTCCTATTTAAGAGATTCACTTCGTGTCACTACTCCACGAGTTCATTGGATGAGCACTCTCTAACAAGTTATTTTCCTCAATATTTTTGATGTGCTAATCTCTAATATTTTTTAATCTAAAACCCAACCATCACTGATGTATGTGTGATATCACTTTTCTGATGTGATTATAATTTGGCTCCCAATAATTTGACAATTAATCAAACTTAATTTACAAGTCAACAATGCAATTTTCTTACATACGTCAATTTGATTTTTTTTTTTTAATAAAAAAAATCTAAACATCAAGTTTAAGAATGATGCTAGCTACAAAATTCTCCTTGTAATTCCACTTTTTAATATTTATCTCATTCTTTATGTGATTATATATGATTGTTTTTTCATATTTGATTAATAAGTATATTCATTTTTTTTGGGGTGGCAATTGACGAAAGAAGTTTGCAGCACTACTTAAATTTGTGCAGTGACTAAACTCCACTCTTTATGTAATAACCCACAAACTAGGCAAGAGAGATAAACTGCACTATAAAAATTTTGTGCAACTAGCAAACTTCATACATATATAAATTTGATTTAAAAAAAAAATTACCAACTACTTTGTCGTGTGATGATACCAGGGACGGAGGGACGTGGGAAATACAGGGGGCCTTGCCCCCCCCCCCCCCCCCCCCCAAAGAATTTTTTTTTTTAATTAACACTAGGAGTGGAGAGGATTTAGAGGAACATGGTAATTGGGACTTTGGGCCCTTGGCCCCCCTCCCCCCTTCAAACAAAAATTATTAGTAATACATTATTATTTTTTGTAGCCTCTCACTAAAGTATTTTTACTCTCCAAACAAAAACTTTCAGATTAAGATTTCAAAATCTTATTTGATTTCAATCATTATGCTATAGACACGGTTCTATGTTCATAATTACTGAAGTATATATTCATAATTATAAAGCTATATATTTATAATTTTTTAACTTCATATTTATAATTATTAAATTTTATATTCACAATTACAGAATTCAATGTTCATAATTACAAAACTATATGTTCATAAATATAAAGCTATAATTTCATAAATTTTGAACTTTATATTCACAATTATTGAATCTCTATATTCATAATTACAGAATTATATATTCATAATTATGTTCACAACTTTATGTTCATTATAGAACTATATATTATATGTTCATAATTTTTGAACTATATATTCATAATTATGAATAGTTTTAGAACGACACGGTCCCACAACATAATTTGCCATTTGATTCGCAACTGGCCTTGTCTAAAATATGATTTCTTCTTCTTGAACATACACAATCACATATTGTCTAACAGGCTCCATATTTTATTTTTTTTTCAGATTCATTTTTTTAAAATTAATGAATTTTTTTCTTATTGATCCACACTTTTGATTTGAATTTGTTTAAAGGGTTTTGACAATGTTTATATGTGAACTATCCATATTTAAGAAATGTTTGTTCTTTGGTGAATGGTGATTCCTTGTGGACTGACGGCTCACGGCTCTTGATCATTTAGAATTGATGACGTTTGCAAGTTGGTAGAGAAGTTTTACCCTCGAGACTTTGTAATATAATGATGTATTTTGGACTATGTTAAATGAATATTAATGTATTTAATTATGCTCTCTCAAATTGTGAATGTAATGATGTATTTTGGACTATGTTAAATGAATATTAATGTATTTAATTATTCTCTCTCGTAGTGTGAATGACCCCCCGCACCAACAAATCCTGACTCCGTCCCTCGATGATACCTCTATTACCATTCCAAATCGGTGGTCACACGATCAAACATTGGTAGTGGAGGCAGTAACAAATCTAGAAATCTTCTCCAATGGAGGCAAAATATTAAAACTAACGAGATATATATATATATATATATATATATATATATATATATATATATATATATTTAAAAAAAATGAAACACTTAGAGACAAGGTCATAAATATTGTTGACTAGAGATGAAAAATCAAAATACATCAAGATAAAAAAATATTTAAAACTTAAAACATAATTAATTAGATAAAATAGTTTGAATGGAAAACACATTATAAATCACTCATCTAACTATTAATATTTTTTTTTATTAAATCTAACTATTAATATTTAAAAAAACAAAAAAAGAAGTCACAATGTTACAAATAAAAAATCCAAATAGAATTCTCACTATTAATATTAAAAAAATGCCAAAAACAAAAGTTCACTCATCTCACTATTAATATTAAAGAATGAAAGAAAAAAAAGCCACAATGTTACAAATAAAAATCTAATTAGAATTCCCACTTTTGATATTTTAAAATTCAAAAATAAATTAAATGTTATAGGGATCAAACAATGGACCACTACACATTATATTTAAATAGTTGGTTTACCATCTAAGCCAAAGCTACCTTTGGTAAATGTTTGGTATATTTAATATATATAAGTATATTTAGGGGGTGGGTGAGTGGGGCCAGCATCCCCACTGTCCCTACTGTGGCTCCGCCACTGAGTGGAGGCATTGATTTTTTATCTGAGAAAATATAAAATATTTTTTAAAAATCCTAAAATTTAAGAAATCTTCTTACCACATCTCAATCTTAAATTTAAGAAAAGGGAAAAAAGTGTCTACTAACTCATTGAGTCATCGCGATTTACATCCTCCCACATGTTCTGACAGGTCGGAGTGTGGAGGGTCCCTAGGGTTGAAGATTCAGCCTATTGGGGTAAGAAAAGGGAAAAAAAGTATGAGTATATTTATGAGAAAAGAGACTCTTTCATTGTTAAGTACAAAAAAGTCCTATATAATAAATGGGAAAAGGACATATAACTCCTCCGTACACTATAGTAATATTTGCTTGAAGAATGAGTAGGTGTTGAGTGTAGACTCTCTCCGTTTAAGAAACATCAACGAAACTCACTAAACCTTTTTTTAGATTTGACTAATTTTATAATCAGAACGAGGTGTTTGGTAAATAGCTATTAGATGTTAGCTGATTGAGTTAGTATGTTTGAGTAGTTAATAGCATTAATTGATTGTAGAAAAATATTTAATAAATTAGCGGTTAGCTGATAACTGATTACATGCAAAATAACTTTCTAGAAAAACTGATCGAAAAACTCAACTAAAACCCATGCAATATAATCATTAGCCCCGAACAACCCACACAAAACCCATGCAACCATTATGTTCTGATTGATTAAAAAGTGAATTATAATTTTTTTTAACTTCATTTTTCTTCTTTTAATATAATAGGAACATTGACTATAATGTTATTTGTTAAAAATACAGGGACCATGATCATATCCTTTAGTTTTCATGTACAATATTTGACCAGGGAAAATTATGTTGTGGATCCGTATGCACCATGCATGGTGCATACGGATGCACACGACGTCGTTTTAGAGTAAGGACGCGGTATCTTATTTAAAAAAAAATCCGTTAATGGCGTTTGTTTCCTTTTGGTTTCGTTTCCAAGTTTTCAATTCGATCGTTGGCAGCTATTCACTGTGGAATTGGCAATCGAGATCGTCACATTCGTAATCGCAATCGCAATCACAATCGCAATCGGTATCGGAATACGTATTGATTGTTAGATGGAGGATGGAACAGAGCAAACAAATTCTGCAGTTGGTGCTGGGCATTCGATTCAAGGTGCTTTGCATTTTGCTATTGTTTTTGCATTTGTTCCTTTTGCGTTTTTGTATGATTTTGTGATTCATTGCGATACAATTGTTTTTAGCAGTGATGTTTGTGTCTAGAATCTACCATTTCGTTTTGTAAATAGTTATACAAAATCACATAAGTATATATCCATAATTGTATAACAACAATTCCAGAATTTCAAAACAATAATTCCATAATTTCATAACTATATTTCTAGAATTGCATATCTATATATTCAGAATTCGCGGGTACTCTGTTTTGGCAGTTTGTTGCGTTTGTGCATACAGAATAGTATAACTATATATCCATAATAACATACCTATATATCCAGAATTTGTAGGTACTCTGTTTTTGCTGTTTGATGAACTATTTGAAATAATGTTCACCCTGTCTATATAATGTAGTTAGTGAAAGCATTATGGATGGTGCAGTGAGTTCAGATCAAGAAGATGTAGACATTGATGGATCTTCATCAATTCCAGGTTTATTCATAGTGGTTTACCTTTTAATTAGCAAATTCTGGTTAGGAATTATATTTTAATGGTATTGGTTATTATTGTGTTATATTTGCAGTTGATCAAGATTTGGTTGGTTTGGTAGTAAGTAATGTTGATGAGGCTTTTGATTTGTATAACAATTATGCATATAGACTTGGTTTTAGTGTGAGGAAGGGTCACCAATGCTACAAGGGATCTACTAACACAATTCAAATGAAGAACTTTTGTTGTTCTAAGGCTGGTTATAAGGCAAACTGTGGGGTTAAGGCTTATTCCAAAATTGACACAAGGACAGGGTGTGAAGCATTTGTTCAGTTTGACGTGGGTGATGATGGGTTGTGGACAATTACAAAACATGAGAAAGTGCACAATGAGTTATATGTGTTCAACAAGAGTCATCTACTTCGTTCACATAGAAGTGTCAGAGATAATCAACTCTTATATTTACAAGGTTTGAAGGACAGTGGAGTTGCACTGGCGGATGGTATTAGGTTCCTAAAACACCAATCAGGGGGGTCTCCATTAGTTGGTTTCACCAATAGAGATGCTTATAATTCAATGCCTGCTGATACAGTCAAGCGATTGGATGGAACTGATTCTAACTCTTTAATTGAATTTTTTCGGAGGAGGCAGTCTACCGAGTCTGATTTTTTCTTTGATTTTGAACTTGATTTGGATGCAAGATTGTGAAGTTTTTTTTGGAGGGATGGTCAAATGAGACGAGATTATGAGGTGTTTGGGGATTTGTTAGTGCATGATACGACATATCGTACCAACAAATATGATATGATTTGTGGCTCTTTCGTAGGGATGAATCATCTTTGCATGAATGTAATATTTGGATGCGGGTTTTTGATGAACGAGAGGATAGAATTGTTTGTGTGGTTGTTTAAAGCGTTTTTAAGATCTATGGGTGGCAAGTGTCGACAGTCTATCATGATAGATCAATGTGCTGCTATGGCTGCTGCTATATCTAAAGTGTTTCCAACATAACGTCACCGTCTTTGCATATGGCATATTGGTGAGAATTCAAAGAAGCATATCAAGACGTTAAGGAATAATAAGGATTTCTTGGATATGTTTAACTACGTGTTGAAATACACAGAGACCGAAGCTGAATTTCAATTTTATTGGACAAGGTATGTTAGTAATTAATCGTTTTTATTGAAATATATTGCATATGTATAGTATTATTGGATTATATTTCATATGTATATAGTATTAGGTTTTCTGATCATTTAGTATATTTATTACGGATGTATATGAATTATGGATGTATAGTTTAACAATTATGGATGTATAGTATAGTAATTATGGATGTATAGCAGTTGAACTAACTGGTGGTCCCTGGAAATGTAGTTTATGGATTATGGATGTATAGTCTATCAATTATGGATATATAGTATTTCAATTATGCATATATAGAAGTTGAACTGACTGGTGGTGCCTGGAAATGTAGTATATGGATTATGGATATATAGTCTAGCAATTATGGATATATAGTATTCCAATTATGTATATATAGCAGTAGAAAGTTATGAGCATGTGTTAGAGATGTGGTGGTGTTGTTTGTTATTCTGCTTCATAAACATTAGTGATTTTGTCTTACCATTTTCAGGTTGGTGACTGACTATAAATGTCACAAGAATACTTGGTTAGAAAAGCTATATGACTGCAGGGAGAAGTGGTGTCCAGCATTTAACAAGGATTATTTTTCTGGGGGCATTTTATCGTCACAAAGGAGTGAAACTACAAATCAATCGATTTCTAGAAGGTTGTCTAAGACAGATGGTCTTTGTGATTTCTATTCATCGTTTGTAAGCGTAATTTCTGAATGGAGAAGTAAAGAGAATGGTGAAGATTTTCGTTGTGCTCAAGGGGTACCCGCTATGATGATGGAGCATGTGAAACTTCTTTCACATGCTAGAGAGGTATACACTATTGAGATATATTTTTTGTTTGAGGAACAATTTATGAAAGGCAGTGCTTGTCATCAAGAAATGGTGTTGAATGATGGCCGTCAACAGAAGTATCACGTGTGGCGGCCAGATATAGACATTATAAGGCATGAGGTTAGTTTTAACCCAACCAACTTGGCCATTTCTTGGAGTTGCAAGTTGATTTCTGAGTTGGGAATTCTATGTTGTCATTATTTACGCATTCTTCATGTACATTGTGTTTCTAGTATCCCTGACAAATATATCATTAAAAGATGGACTAAAAAAGTTATTGATGGTAGGAATGTCAACATTGATTCTATGGTTTATAATATTGGTGTCCCTCCATCAATTTGGGTTTTCGATATTAGTAGGAAATTTCAAAGATTAGTTGTTTCTAGTCCAGATAGTAGTGTAGCTAGAAAATTGTGTGACGAAGCTGTTGATGATGTAAAGAAAAAGGTTGAAGCCGAGATTGGGTATGTGCATATTGAAGAGTGTGGTGTTTCATCTTCAAGTGGTGGTGTACAAAATCCTTCAAGCCGGAGATTGAAAGGTGAGCGTAATAAAAGGAGGAGTGGTGTTATTGAAAAGAAGTACAGTCTTGCAAGGGGGAGAAGGAGTGCTGCAAATAAAGTTGCATTGAGTACAAAGGGTGCTGTTCAGTCTTTGGTGTTGGAAAACATATCCAAGCTTGCTGGGGATGGATACCTCGTACATCCAAGTTCTTCGAGTTCAGATTTTGTTTAGTTTAGTAAGGCTTTAGATGACAATGTAGGTGTAGATTGAGAAATACAGGTTGTTATCATTGATTTATGCAATTCTGGATTTATAGTTTTGTAATTCTGGATATGTAGTTTTGCAATTATGGATTTACAGTTATGCAATTATGGAATTATAGTTATACAGTTATGGGTGTATAGTTATGCAATTATGGATGTGTAGTTATGCAATTATGCGAATTATAGTTATGCAATTATGGAATTATAGTCATGCAATTATGGAATTATAGTTACTAGTATTTGCACCCGTGCGATGCGCGGAATGGATTTGTTGTAATATATTAATAATATATGAATCAATATATAATTATTTAAATTAGAACATCAAATATAATATAGTACAATTAAAGATATGATTTGGATCGTTTATATATTTTATTGTTATCATTGCTTGAATTTGTGCAAATAATTGCTCAAATTAATAGCTATATTTAGATGTACGCATGTGGTGCTATATTTTGAAGATTTTATTTATCATTGTTTAGTATTTTCATAAATTAGGCAAATGTGCTCGTTCTCTAACAACTCAGTTATAGAAATGAATTGCTATCCTTATTCACTTGTATGGAAGATATATTTTTTTCTCAAGATATATAGCAATTTTTTCATTAAAAAAAAAAAAAACTTAATATCACCGATTATATTTACGCATTATTGAAACCTCTTTGTAGACGACATAGGTTGTGGTAACACAATCTTGTTCATCTTCGTCTAGACCTAACACTTTCAATCCATCATGACGGATTACATGAGTGAAAATATATAATGGTAGAATATCACTTAATTAGTTATCATTTTATATTTTCAGTTAATTAGTAGTAATATCATATTCATTTTTAGTCAATTTTTTTTTTATATTTTCAGTCAATTAGTCAATTAGTATCAAATGCAATGATATTTTTACCTAATTTTCGTTCCATTTTTATTTGATGATGTAGATATTATTATTGAAATATTTCCATTCCATTTTTAATTTACCTTTACTATTGTTTAAAATATGCATTTACTATTGATAATGTAGAATATTATTATTGTAATATTTTCCTTCAATTTTTAATTAAAATGCAATGATTTGACCATTTCTTTTTTTTATTTAAGTCAATTATGGATCATTTTTATTTACAATCAATTATTAATATTCATTTCCTTTTATATTTGCAATGTATTAGTAATATTAGATTCATTTTCAATCAATTATTCTTTTTTTTTCCAGTCAATTAGTCAATTATAATATAGATGCAGTGATGTTTTTACTTAATTTCCGTTCCATTTTAATTTGATGACATAGAATATTATTAATGAAATATTTTCGTTCCATTTTTAATTTACCTTTACTATTTTTTAAAATATGCCCTTACTATTTGATGATGTAAAAATATTATTATTGAAATATTTCCTTTCCATTTTTAATTTTCCTCTACTTCTCAAAAAAAAAAAAAAAAAAAAAAAAAAAAAAAAACTTTTGACTTCTCAATACTTGTCGACATTGATAGGCAAACAATAATGTTTGTAAGAGGAGCTGGAGATCAAAATGATCGCACATCATTTACAAAGGGAGCCACAAGCTCCATTTTGTCTTTTTTTTTTTCTTAATATATATTTTAATTTTATGTTGTATATCGTTTTGTTTGAATTATTATTATTATTATTATTATTATTATTATTATTATTATTATTATTATTATTATTATTATTATTATTATTATTATTATTATTATTATTATTACTAGTATTTGCACTTGTGCGATGCACAGAATAGATTTGTTGTAATATATTATGAATATATGAATCGATATATAATTATTTAAACTTGAACATCAAATATTATATAGTGCAATTAAAGATATGATTTGGGTCGTTTATATATTTTGATGTTAGTATTGCTTGAATTTGTGCAAATAATTGCTCAAATTAATAGCTAATGTCTAGATGTACGCGTGCGGTGTTATAACTTTGAAGATTTTATTTATCATTGGTTAGAATTTCATAAATTAGGTAAATGTGTTTGTTCTCTAACAACTCAGTTATAGAAATGAATTGTTATCCTTATTCATTTGTATGGAATATTTTTTTTTTGTCTAGATATATAGCAATTTTTTCATTAAAAAAAAACGTAATATCAACGATTATATTTATATATTATTGAAATCTCTTTGTAGACGACATTGGTAGTGGCAACACAATCTTGTTCATCTTCGTCTAGAGCTAACACCTTCAATCAATCAGGACGATTTACTCGGGTGAAAATATATAATGTTAGAATATCACTCAATTAGTTATCTTTTTATATTTTCAATCAATTAGTAATATCAGATTCATTTTCAGTCAATTACTCTTTTTTATTTTCAGTTAATTAGACAATTAAATTATCAAATGCAGTGATATTTTTACTTAATTTTCGTTCAATTTTTAATTGATGATATATATATTATTATTATTGAAATATTTCCATTCCATTTTTAATTTACCTTTACTATTGTTTAAAATATGCATTTACTATTAATAATGTAGAATATTATTATTGAAATATTTTCTCCGATTTTTAATTTCCAATCTATTTTTAATTAAAATGCAATTATTTGACCATTTATTTTTTTATTTTAGTCAATTATGGATCATTTTTTATTTGCAATCATTATTAATATTAATTTCCTTTATATTTTCAGTCAATAATAATATTAGATTCATTTTCAATCAATTATTTTTTTTAATTTTCAGTCAATTAGTCAATTAGAATATAAATACAGTGATATTTTTACCTAATTTCTGTTCCATTTTAATTTGATGATGTAGAATATTGTTATTGGAATATTTTCGTTTCATTTTTAATAATACCTTTACTATTTTTTTAAAATATGTCTTTACTATTTGATGATATAAAATATTATTATTGAAATATTTGCTTTCCAGTTTTAATTTTCTTTTACTTCTCAACAACAACAACAAAAAGAAGACTTTGGACTTCTCAATA